TTTAATTTGAATGGATTGGAGACGAAGCTGGGCTACGGCAAGGACTGGAGTATCCTTTTCCATTTGAACGTCAGGGAGGGAGTGGATCCCGATAACGACATTAGGGTTACGATGTATCCGCCGCCGTTCACGACGCACGGCTACTCCATGAACCAGAGGCTTCTGGTTTTGGCCATAAAGGGACTGGAAGCAACCGGGCCGAGGATTTACAAAGTTACGGTGGCGACGCCGCCGTCTGCAATCATTGCGCCGCCGGGGTACTACCTTGCCTTCGTGGTGTATCGCGGGGTTCCGAGCGTCGGAGTCTGGGTTACCATTCAGTGATTTAATTTTATTATTTAAATTTGAATCAATGTTGTTTGTTATTGTTGCTTTATTTTATTTTATTTCTTTTCTCGGCTGAGATTATAATTCGGCTCCATTTTGAAGAAAGAAAGTTTGGTGGTGGATCACCGATTAACTATCTCTATCTCTCTTTTTCTTTTCCTCCGATTATAACTTTAAATTGTTCGATAATCAATAATCCATAATATAAATTTGATATTTGTGTCAATGTGAAAAATTAAAAAATATATCTATGTGTTCAAACCCGATGATAACTACCTTATATCTTAAGAATGAGTCCGAACACTAAATATTATCAAATCCATTATATTTTGGAAAAAATAATCATTATGCAACTTCCAAAATGTTTCTTTTTGTTGATTATTCAGTACTTCAACTTATATGACTTCAATACATGTCTTCTCTTAGCACGTTAACACACCAGTTTGAAGTTATATTGTTCATGAGTTAAAAGTAATGTATAAATAAATACCAAAATGGGTTATTTCAAAAGTGTTAGGTAAAAAATAGCATTATGGTTTGAAAGTTACATGGACTAAAAGTTAAATGATTAAAATATAATAATTTTGAAAGTGAAATTATCAAGATATAGTTTAAACCATTTCTTTTAAGATAGATTTAAAGAATTTATAAACCATGCATGCACTGTTTGGGAGTGACAATCCTATCACATCTCACAACGAAAGCTTTTAATAATTTTTTTAATTGAAAAGGTTATTGATCTTTATTTGTTTTTCTTTAGGTTAAATACTCAAATTGAGAGAGCATATTTTGTTTATTGTTCTTTCAATACTCATAATTAAAACCTTCTATAGTCTTAAATTTTATTTATTTTGAAAATTTTAGATTTTTTTTGTATGTTAATTGATAATAATAAAAGTGCTCTAGTGTGCAAGATCTACGTGAAAACTAACTCGTTTGGTTGATTGGGCCATCCTAAACCCAGTCAGTGAATCTTAACCTAACCTTTTTAATTAAAAAATACTAAACAATCTTTTAGTTCATAAAACTTATTTTATTTTACAAATTAAATTTCAGGATAAAGCTATGACGTGATTAAAATAATTCAAAATGTAGTTATCTGATGGTACCTAAATCCTGACAACGAAAATTGTGCAATTTTGAAGTTTACCACAATAAAATATATGTTCTAATAAATTGATTAAAAATACTCTGCAAAAAATAATAAGAAGAATAAAACAAGCAATACCGTTTTTGGGAGGGGGTGGAAGGTAATTTTATAAGGTTTCTCTTGGATGTTACAATAGAAAATAATTAGTGGCCCTTACTAGGCATTTATCTTGTTTTAATTACCGTTGAATATTGGATAACTAAAAAGAAGAAAATGATTTTTAAGTTGTCAATTTGTTAATGGTGACCTAAATAGAGATAGTTTATGACGGGAAGTTCATTTTTTTTCTTTTACAATAGCTTTCGGAGAACCTCTCTTTTAATATTTTTAAACATTTTTTTTCTAAATAACAATACTTGATCAGCATCAATCTTTTACTAACCATCATTAACTTTTCTACCATAGATAAAAAGGCAGGGAAAATATAATTTTAATAATTTACATTAAAAAATTAACAATAATTTAACTTCGAGAGGACTATTTATGAATATTTTGAAAATGTTAGATTTTAACCTAGGGACCAAATAAAATTATAACATAATTAATTTCAGGGATAAAAAATGGATTTTAACTTGAATATATATATATATATATATATTTTTTTTTTTTTTAAGGCTTAAAAAGCTAGCCAATTTTTAGTTAGTAGTCATCATAAAAATAGGTACCACTAATAAAAAACTCATTGCTATTTCTTAAATTAAGAAAATTGTAAACCATTCGTTTGTCTTCCAAGTCACGGGCAGGTGATGACATGGGATGATCCTAGTGGCGGTGGAAAAAAACAGACATTGATGAAGTCGGTACGGCGACCGACCTCTCTTGCTTTTAGTTGTAGGCTGTCCCTTTGCTCTCTCTCTCTCTCTCAGCGTGGTTGAAACTTTTTTCTTTTCAGTACAAGGTTAAAATTCGGAATATTAATTTTAACCTATATTTTTCAAATAAAATATTACTTTGTTTTAATTTATAAATTGTTAACTATTCAATTTTAATTGAATTTTTTGCTTCAAGGAAGATATCTAATGTTATCGAACAAATCCAAGATACCATGCATTGTGGCTGCACTCTACCACGTGGACTAGGTGAATGGAGATTGGGAAGAGGCCAAGCGCATCAAGCTCAATCTCGAGCATACCGACTCCCAGGACCAAGCGCACTAAAACGATCTGTATGAAAGGCAACCAGTAGGTAGGATGTTGATACTTGATACCTAAATCGTGATATGTCTTAGATCAAGATTGTTCATCCACGTTCCCTAACTACAGCACACAGGAGAAAGAAGAATGTTGGTGGTCCCCGCAAGCAAAACACGACATGCTACCCCTAGTTTCCGCCTCAAACTTACGAACTCATACTCTCTCCCTATATAATAAAGAGAGAGCAGCCCCAATCGAGGTAATTCAAGTTTCACCCACACAATTTTTTTAGTGAGAATTTGACTCCACTCTCAAGCATAATCTTACCTTCGAGATTACTTCCTTTCTACTATAATTGCTTTATATTTGTCTGCTTTTAACAAAATCAAATCCAATGCAGGCTCGAGGGGGCTCGAACCCCTTTGAATTTTATAATTAATTAATAACTCTTTGGCTCAATGGTTTCGTGTCTTAAGCCCCCTCACTACCGGTATTTGCTTATCCGTTAAAGGATTGACAAACACTTAAAAATATCTTCTTTTAATAAAATTTATCCTTTAAAATATCTTTGACAAAAAAAACCACCCCCAATTAGTAGCTGAAATATCAATTTTAAATAATTTTAAAATTTTCTAAAATTAATTTTTTAATTTCACAAACGTTATCCTTTATTACCCTTTAAAAAAGAGGTGAGTTCGATAATAACAAAGCTTATTATAATGATGTGAAAATTACTCTCAAACACAACCTAAATATAAGCTCAAGTAACCTACACGATTTTTTTTTTTTAAATAGACACTATCAAAATGAGGGCAAGATTAGAAATATATAGTGTTTTAGTTTAATAATAATGGAATTTGGAGAGGGTAATAGATATTTTATTCTAGCTTGAATTTATGAAATACGAAAAGAAAAAAAAAACTATGTTGATAAAATAAAGGCAACTTTAACATTCAGCCCGATGTAATAAACAAATGAGAGTGGGACGTACGAAACAAGCCGGAAATCGAACAGCGCAGCCAGAATAGAATGCGTTATAAAAAAAACGACATAAATATTGTGATATGAAAGGGAAAAAAAAGAAGATGAGATGGGCCTCTTCCTGATTGGTCCAGGCCCAAGTCGCAATAATTCCACCAAACCCTCAAAATAAATTAATAATAAATAACTTGAAAGCTATCCGCCTAAATCAACATCAGTGACCGAAAACCAAATAGTCAACAGGTCAACAAATCCACGTAGGACGAAATTCCAAAAATACCCCCACAGGTTCCGCGTTTATCCCTTGGAGTCCAAGGTAGAATTAGAAGAACGAAACGCAACGCTGTCCCTCGCTCGCTTGCTGGTCCTCGTCTTCGTTTTGTGGCTTCCGTTTCTCATCTTTCTTTCCACACTGGATTGTTATTTTTTCGTATATATTTTCTTCTCTCTATAAATATCTCAAATATTCTCCTCTGTATACCTTTTTTTGAATTTCGTTTCCGGATTTGATCTTCCAAATATTCCAACGAAACCCTCGCTTGTTCATGCTCTGACCGATCTCCGCAAATTCGATCCACTTGATCTTTCGACATGGAGCGCGTAATCGGCGGCAAGTACAAGCTTGGCCGCAAGATCGGCAGCGGATCGTTCGGCGAAATCTACCTCGGTGAGTTTCGCTCTTCTAGTATTGCTTGAATTTTCAGCTTATAGTTTCCGATGAAGTTTTTGATTTACGACTAAGATTTATCGTGATTTTTTCTCTGTTTATTGTTTCAGCTACTCATATTGAGACCTTCGAAATCGTCGCCGTCAAAATTGTAAGTTCTGATCATCTGATTGACTTCTGTAATTTTCTGTGGTTGGCGATTTTTTACTTGTTATTTTGTTCAATTGTTTCTCTGTTTTGTGGAATACTTTCTCCGATATATCTTAGTTCTAGTTTCCGTGCGTGGAAATTTGGTCGGTGAAACGGAAATTAGAGCTGCATGAAATTATTTGGTCGTGCTCTTGAGCTTCGAGTTTTGGGACGGCTTTCTGATATGTTTGGCTTTCTTTGCAGGAAAACAATAAAACGAAGCATCCGCAACTGCTTTATGAGGCAAAATTATATAATATTCTTCAGGGAGGAAGTACGTAAGCGATTATGTTGTAATTTTCATATTGTGTATAGTTAAATGCTTGTGTTGAGCGCTGAGAGAACTTCTCTTAGTGGATGATTATCATTGTTTAAGTTGCTGTCGGTTAATTGTTTTCGTCTTAATCCAGGCGGTATTCCTGCTACCAAATGGTCTGGTATAGACGGGGAGGAGAATGTGCTTGTCCTTGATTTACTGGGACCAAGTCTCGAAGATCTCTTTGTATATTGTGGGAGGAAGTTCTCGCTGAAGACAGTCTTGATGTTGGCTGATCAAATGGTAAACATCACTTCCTGCAGTGGTTTCTCTCGCCTTTGATTTGCATGTCTGTTTCTGCAATTATTAAATGCTTTGAGATCTCTTCTCTCCCGTGACTAGTGGTTTCTTGTCTCATTCATCTTCCTTTTCCTGTTAAAGATCACAAGAATAGAGTACGTGCATTCCAAAGGATTTCTGCACAGAGACATAAAACCTGATAACTTCCTCATGGGCCTTGGACGTAAAGCAAATCAGGTGATAGTTCTTCTTTTATAATAAATAAATAAATTAAATGTTTATTCTTATTTTTTGGTTGTGCATACATTCTTACCTCCATTGCCTTATCAGGTTTACATTATAGATTTTGGATTGGCCAAAAGATATCGAGATGCAACCACCAACCGACATATCCCCTACAGGTATCTCTTCAGTTACTTTTCAATTTCTTACTCGTGCTTTAAATATTCAATTCAGATGTGATATTGGGATGTAACTTTCATTTGTTTATAATTCACCTTAACAGGGAAAACAAAAACCTAACAGGGACAGCTCGTTATGCTAGTTGCAATACTCATCTTGGAATCGGTAAGTTAGACACGTGAGTTTACTACTTGCAAATTTCGCATTGAATTTGACTCGGACCTCATGTACCCTCCTTGCTGTCTTCTTCGTAGAGCAAAGTCGGCGGGATGATTTGGAGTCTCTTGGATATGTGCTTCTATACTTTTTGAGAGGAAGGTACATCATTGTCCTCTCTGTTTTTATTCCTATTAATTAATTATGCACAGTAGTGTCATCTTCATTCTGGTGAAAGTTGTGGCATTCATATGGGATTCTATTCCAGTATTCATTCATCCCAATTCAAGCACATCTTATCTGCATATCTTCACCCATGCGTTGATTGGGATGGGAACGAACTTCCTGTTATTTTAATTTTTCCATTTTCTATTAATGACTAAAATTTCTCTTTATAGCCTTCCATGGCAAGGATTAAAAGCTGCCACGAAGAAACAAAAATATGATAAAATATGCGAAAAGAAGTTATCTACCCCTATTGAGGTATGCAATAACCAAATCTGGTCATGACTAATTATATATATTCTTGAGCTTATACATCTATTTGTATTATCATTCTTGAAGGTTTTATGCAAATCTCATCCGGTGGAGTTTGCTTCATACTTCCATTACTGCCACTCTCTGACATTTGATCAGCGACCTGATTATGGGTTCTTAAAGCGATTGTTCCGTGACTTATTTGCACGTGAAGGTAGTGATAACATATGTTCCTGTGTATAACTTGTTCAATGAATTCCTATTTGAGTGAGACCTGTGTTCTGTCATGATGCCTTATTATTTATTTATGTGCAGAATATGAGTTTGATTACGTTTTTGATTGGACAATCATTAAGTACCAGCAGTCACAGAAGAACAGAACTCAGCCACGAGTAGCTGTAAGTATCTTGGCCTGGTTAGCGTGTGTCGTTATGCAATTGTTTTATTTGTCGAAATTGGAATGCAGACTTTTGATTCTAATTATGTTATTTTGCCTCTTAATTCAGCCGGTTCTTGGTGGTACACATAATCACGAAATGCCTACAGAAGTGGAAAATCGTCAAGGTTGGGTTTCTTTTTGATGTGTGTTCAATGTCAAATTTACTATTGCACTGTGTAAATGAAAATGATGTGACCTGTTATTTATTTTTCAGGCACGTTTAATTCTTATTCAGCTGAGGTTACAGATCGTGTTAGATCTGACAATGTTTCAAGTCCTGCCGTGCGACTGCATTTTAAACAACCAACTCCAAAGAATTTAAGTTCTGATAATGCTCTTGATATGAATGTTAGTGATCTTCTTTATGGCCTCTTTAAAGCAATCTTGTTTTCAAATAATAACATTGATTACACCTTACCTATGTTTTGCATTTGCCCTTGTACATTTTATCGTTATCATGGCTTAATTGGCAGTCTATATTAATAATGTAGATTCTAAATGATGCCCGCATGGCCACTTCATCATTTACACCAGCTGGTAGCTCAAGAGGAAATTCTTCTAAACCTTTGCAGTCCACCGAATCTCCAAACCCCGTTCATGGAAATGGTCACAGGATTGGTCCTTCAAGTAGCTGGATTTCATCATTGCAGAGAATTTCATCTGCCAAGTAATTAAAATGGTAAGTCCACAGTACATTTACTTGGTGCTGTTTGGATTTTCCTTTTGTGTTGGCTCTAATGTGTTTGGTTGTTCCCTAACCATTTACTACATCGTGACTTTAGAAACAGATCCAGTCAGGACTATTCTTAAACTACATCTATATGAAGCTGCAAATTGTGATGATTTGTTGTTATCTTTCTGCAATGTAATCGAAGAGATTCTGGTGATTTATTGGCAGAAGCTGCAACACGCTTGCCCGTTTAATGACTGTGTTAGTCCCTGAACTATTGCAAGCTCACGTTATTATTATTTTTTTTTTGCAAAGGTGACTAAAATGCTTTGGTGGTTATAGAATACCAACTTTCTGGAGCATGGCTTCTGCTGTGTAAATAGAAGTGAATCACAGCAATCTTGTACCTATGGTTCTATATAACATTACTGGTGTGAAAGAATGTCGTGCTTTTAACCAATTTTTGTTACTATACTTTAAGATTCCTTTTGTAAGGCAATATGGATGATATTACTTATTCATATTGCCCAATAATACCTCTTTTATTGTTGTGAGTGCAATCTTAAACTCTTCTGCATCCTGCATCCTTTAGACATGAGCATGAAACTAATTTGATCTTAAACACGCATGAAGCATACTAGTGTGGCTTTTGTAATGGACTTTAAATTGAATAAGGCTGAGTTAGGAGTGCTTTATGAAGTAATTTTTTTAAATGAAATACTTTCTCTGCTAGTACTTTTGATTCTTCTAATAATCCTAAATTGTGTTCTGAATATTTGGAACAACTCTAAATACAATCCAAGTATTAGCTTTGACAATTACTCTATAGGTTCTGGTGGCACATAAACTAACTTTTCGGCCAAAATATAAATTTACTGAACTGACTGGCTTTAGTGAACATGGTTCAGATATTCAAGAATAGGGAATTTTAGGGCTTAYAGACGTGGGTACTTTAAACAGGCAGTTTGTTGCATTGTGTCAGGACTACCTTGGAAAAAATGTTTGCTTCTGCTGCTTTGCAGGGCTGAAGATGTTAGTTGGGGATTTGGAGCAGTTATCTGAACAGCTACGAAAATGGACTTTTACCTTGGTTTATTTCGATTTCTTCCCTATTTGTTTTCCATTCTTCAAACAAGCCTTTTACTTACAATGAAGACCTGAACCTTTTGCTTATTATTTTCCCGCTTTCATCAGTTGTCTTTCTTCCACCGTTCTACTTTTGGTGCTAATATAACTCAATGCTTGGTCCATTTCACTAGGACCTTATTTACCGCCGATATTGCCACATGTTTTAGTTTCCTTTAATCGGTTCATAAACAGTCTATCATGCCGTTACATTCAGCACATTTTCACTGAATGCACTCTTCCTGCTGTTTAATCTGTTTCTGACTTCCAAGAGTTACATCTGAGTAATGATGTGCTGTGCCACAAAGTGCTTCTTTATACAGGGATCATTTCTTAAAGATGAATCTCCATTTAGACCATCCACTTGTGCTAGATTTGATTGATAATACTTGGAAATTCTTTTAAATAACCTGCTTTGTTATCAGTTTATAGATGTGATATGCAGGATATTTTCCCTTCAGATTTGTCGAATAAGAAGATTATGGCAGGGAAGGGATAGTATGTGGCAGCTATTGAATGACAGGTTTTGGACAAAATGTTCGTGCAACTTTTGGCTTACAGCTCTCGAAATCTGCATTTTACTAGCAAGCAAAGCTGCAAGCATTGATCTGATTGATCTGAACCATCTATCTCGGCAACCATAGCTCTGTTGAGAAAGTGATCATCTATGCTATTGTTCGACTGCAAAATTTTACTGTCGAAAATTGTGAACCTGGTAATTTATATGCTTAGTTTCTTTATCATATGGATTTGAATTGTCGAAAATTAGGTTGTCGTGGAATCCGTTTTAGGCATTACAAAGACAAAAGAACCCTTTGGACGTTGCTAACATCTGGTTATTGAGGTGAGAATCCAACTGTGCTGCCATTTTATTGAAGGTTAAATCCGACAATTACTTAGAGAATTGCATGCATTTCCTTGGAAGCTATTAAGCATTAGACCGCCTTTGCCAACAGAAGTGGTATCTTTCAAGGTCATATTATGGTACCATACTCTTGAAGTGAATTTTATCTGTGACGAATGCGAAGGCCCCAGTTTATTTTGAAGGATGGATCAGTTTTGCGACAGGTTCAGGTAATATATGGAAAAACAGATCAGATCTTCTATGAGGGTAATATGATTACAAATCCTTGAGTGCATTATTGCTCAGGGGCAGAAAGGTCTTTCTACGTAAATTCCAGAAGCTCCTCAAGTAATGATAAAATATAAAATAAGAGAAAAAGGGGGCCAACAAATTTGATGTCAAAATGGCTTTCATGTTGGGATGCGCCGAGGGCGAGCTTGGTAGTAGAGTGTCTCATTGGTCATTCCAGCTCCTTGAGAAAATCAATGTTGTCTACAAAAACCTGCAGAATGAAGAACAGAAATGATTAAGTTGCAGTTAAAAATAAATTTTCTGTCACTTTAATTTATCCCTCCTAATATTTTCTATAAGTTTTCACTGATCAAAATTTGTCCTAATAATCATGAAAACACGAATAATATGTTTTTTCTTTTTAAATGACAGTCAAAAAGTCACTTTTGTCTATTTCCTTAGAAATAGAATTCCAAAATTTTTCACAATATTTTTTTCTATTTGACATCACCCTTTGCTAACTTTTCTCTTTCTTCCCGATTTCTAACTTCTCTTTCTAAATTCTCTCCCTAACATCTTTCTTTCTAATTCAATTTTCATATTTTCTGTTTCCATAACTTCTATTGAAGCCTATTTTCCTCTTTAAAATTCTTTTTTTTTTCACTCTCCCTAACTTTCGTAAAAAATATAGAATCAATAGTTATAAAAAATGTACATCTTTAGTTTATATGTACACTTTTTAAAAACAAAAAACCAAAAATAGAAAATTAATAACCATTTTTTTAGTTTTATATTTTTGAAGATTAAACTTATAAACTCTACTTTCACCCATGCAAGTTATATTTGTTCTACATTTGCCTTTTGAAACTGCTTTCAAATTTTTGTTAACAAAATTTTTATATAAAATTCTCTTCAATTTTTTATAAAAGTTTCTGAAAACCATAGTAGTGTTTGAACTTAAATAAAAACGGTTATTAAACAGAGCTATATTAGTTGGAAGCTTGATTTTTGTTACAATTCTCACTGACATATGATCATCCGGCGAATAATCAAGCCACTGAATGTATATAATAATCGTTGAACTCCATGCTCACAATAAATCATAGCGAACTCGATTGAGGCTGATACTAGGGGAAAAGGGAGCGAACTCGATTGAGGCTGATACTAGGGGAAAAGGGTGCGTTGCTGAAGGCTATCTAGACGGAATTGTTTTTTTTTTCTATTAAAAAAAATTATGAGCAAAGATATTAATCGGGGAGCTCTATTAATTAGCCTACATTTTAAAGAAAAAGTTGTGTTATGTATTGGGAGTGGAGTATTAGCAGGGAATGTCATTAGGGGCGTATTAGCTGAAGTATGGCGGGAGAATGATGGGTTGTTCACAAAAGAAAAAGAAGGAAAAAAATGTGAAATGTTATCTTAAAATTCAAATTCTCATTCAAAAATGGTTTTTAGGTTAATATTGACAATAGTGCAAGACCTCTTCAAGGCTAAGTGTGGGAATAAAATCAACCATTAGGATGGAAAAGATTTAAAGATTGGAAAAGATTTAAAGATGATGGAGGCTTGGGGTTCTAATTCATGATTGGTTACTGCTTGAAGAAATTTGAAGGAATAGGAGGTGGCTGAGTTCTGTAGTCTGCTGAAATTATTGGGAGAATTGAGACTATCTAACAGGGATGATCATATGAGGTGGGATCTACGTAAACTTGATGTTTTTTACTTCAATCTTTTATTAAGAAAAGTGTGTGGTTCTTCTACTTTGTTCAAAAGAGTCTGTGAAGCTTGGTGGAAGGTGAAAATGTACGGTTTAATTTGGTTCAATGCCGCGAATAGGCTTCAAGAGAAGAGATGCACGTTTTGGATTTTGAGATTCAGTTGTGCATAGGCATGTGAAGGCCTTGTGGATTAAATTCTGTTGAGGCCCTTTTTTTTATATATATTTTTTTGATAAGAAACTTGAGAAATATATTGAGAACACAAGGAAGAAAAAGCCTAAGGGCATGGGAAGAGGGGGTCGGTCCCCCTCCCAAATTCTGTTGAGGCCTTGATTTGGAACATTTGGCTAGAAATAAAATCAAGCATTTTTTAAGGAAAAGGCTTAACCTGCAAAGAGAGATTTGACTCTATTAACTAGCATGGAAGGTTAAAGTTTCAAGTAAGGTTTTTTTCCTTTTCCTTTTTTTTTAGTGGCAGGTCCTTCACAGTAGAGTTAATACTTAAAATTGGATTTTGAGGGAGTCAGTCTTCATTAATAGAGCTGTAGCGTCGTATCCTTTGTAGGGGGCGGAGGAGGATATCGATCAGAGATGTCATTTTGACTACTTGATTTGGAAAAAAAATTTCGTTGAGTTTGGTTTCAGCCTCGGTCGTCCTAGAGATGGTAGTGCGCTACTGGAGGAGTTGCTCACTTTTTCGCACTTTCATGATAAGGGGGGGGTTTTTTCTTTGGCTTGGTGAGGTCAGTGCTATTTTATGGCTATTTTATGGAGTTTGTGGATGGAGAGAAACACTGGAAATTTTAGAGGGTGGAGAGATCTTGGAATAAGGTTTGATCTCTGTTAGATTTCATGTTTTTTTTGGGCTTCAATGGTATGGTAATGGTTAAGGACATTCGTAATTATCCAATAAGTCATATAGGAGTTCTTTTCTTTGTAATCCATTTGAAGTTTGGTTGTTTAGGTGGTTTAGGCTGGTGGTCCGTTGGTCATTTGTTGGTTTGTTATGGATGGTTATCGTTACTATTGTAATTTTTCACTAATCAATTAAAGCTTTGTTTACTTTTAACTTTAGTTATGACAGATAGAAAAATATTACTTGCTTTAATCAGGTCTTTAATCAGGTGTAAAAAAGAAGTCAGCAAGGGCAAAGCACAGAAATTAGAATATCAGGAGAAGCTTACCGTCTTCCAGCCATCAGGATCCAAGCAAGCTGTAATCTTGGTGTTAATACCAGGCAACGGTCCGGGTTCTCGGGTGATCTTTCCCCCACTAAGTTTCACTGCTTCTGCAGTTCTATAAACATCATCTGTACCTATAGCAATCTTTTCGTAAAGAAAGAAGGAGATATCAGGGATAGTTTGTTTTTTGTACAACATATGGGGTGGGAGATCGAATCCTTGGTTGGAAATATATGTCAATTACCACTAAGCTATGCTCGTTTTGACGATTAGGGATATATCATTTATTGATTTCATGAAATCACAATGACAGTAACTAATTAGGGCCTCGTTCGATAACAAGTTCGTTTTAAATTTTATGTTTGGCTTCTTCCTTGAAATTTCTAAATTTATTTTTCTCCTTTCATAGTCAAATTTCAAAAACAAAAACTTGTTTTTGGAAATTATCTTTTTTTTTTCAAGGCTTTAATTTTTTTTTTTCAAGGCTTTAATTTTGAAAACATTTTAAAAGAAGTTGTTAACATAACAAAGGAACAGATAAACAGAAATACTAGCTTAATTTTTAAAAATAAAACAAAAAAATTTTAAAAAAATGATTATCAGGCCTGAGAAATTTTAAAATATATTACTATTCATGTTTCTGAACCAAGATGAACTTCCCAGTAGATTGGAGAACAAAAATAACGTGGTGCAAATTGGAAAAATATTGTACCTGAGCATAAGCATTCCCTTTTTCGTAATCAGTGATACCATAATTATATGTCAACTCCATAACAGCATTTTTGTCTTCTGGACCATAACCCATCATTGCTATAGTATACTGTAAGAGCAACCGTAACATCATTAAGTTAATGGATGCACGTGAAGCTAACAATAAACCAAGTATGACATTGAATGGAACATGTTTTAACCACATTCAAAGGCTGCAGTAAAAACAGACAAGCTTAAAATAAGACAATATGGCAAAATAATAACCAATTAACCCAGTCATTCTCCTCACAAATTACCAGACATGAAAAATATTAAGCAAAAATATACTCTGTTCTTCATTGTAGAAAATGTCCAGTATGGTAGTCATACGAACAAAATATTGTGCAATGCGTTAGGCCATTAAATATTTTATAATTCAGAACCCATGATTGCTTGCTACCATTTCTGCTGAGAGCTGCTTAAATATTAACCTAACTGGATGCTTTGAGAAAAAGTCGCTTTCACTTCTCTACAAGAATCTGTAAGTTTGAATTCTTCTTCAAAAAGAAAATATTCAATTTAGTGAAAATGATCCAATCTAAATCTAACGATGCCATCATGAACAAAGAAAGTTTAATACGTATATTTTAAATACTACGTATCAATTATAAGATTGCTACCTTGTAATCTGGATTATCTCGTGTACGTAGAAGCTCCATTCCATAAGCCTATATAGAAAACACAGAGAAAGCCAACAGTAATTTTTTTTAAACAAGATAGTAAAATAATAGTATAGACTACTCAAGAAATTGATATTCAGGAAAGTTAAGGAAAAGCGAAAAAAAAAAAAAAAGATCACTGTCAACTATAATTGGAACAATGCCAACTACAAAACCTTACCTTCTTGTAGAACTCGATTGAGCGATCAAGATCACCCACACGAAGCATTACTTGACATAAAGGCTCAGGAGTAGGTCCCCTTTCTATAAGTTCAAACTTATAACCATCCGGATCTTCAATAAAAGCAATAACGGTACTGCCCCCTTTCACAGGGCCAGCTTCTCGGGTCACTTTCCCGCCCTTAGCTTTTATGAGTTCTACGGTTTTGTAAACCTGAGAAGAACCAATTTTTTATAAGAAATAATAAAACATTAGTATCCTTTTTTTATCAAATAGTGTCCCACATGACACATTTACATATGTGGCCAGTAGTGCAAAAACTGATATGAAAGGGCCATGTGAGAAAATAAGGGTAAAGGAAAAGAAAGAAAAGAACTTCGTCACCGGGAACATCCGGATGAAAAAAACATGCAAGCTTAAGGCATAGCTAAAGAATTGCATTTCCCGAGACAAAATAGTGAAAATTAAAAAAAAAAAACAAGTAGTTATTAAAATTAAAAAACAAATTCAAGTTTTTTAATTATTAAAAATAAACCCAAGTTTATAATCCAATATAATGTCATAGTATTTATTAGAAAATCAGATATGAGATATGTGAAACTATTTATAGCTTATTATTTGCAAGTGAAGAATTTAAACAGCACCAAAATTGGGGAAAAACACTTCAAAATTCACGGTTAACTAGAAAACAAATAGGTAAGACATTTGATATAATAGCAGAGAACTCGTTTGTCCACTAAAATCTGGAAAATCTCTTTTATGCTTATGACTTTGAAACAACAATCAGAATATAAAAAACAAAAAAGATATTGTTTTACCTTGATCATATAATCATTACTAAACCTAGTATGATAAAATATTGCATATGCAAAAACGCATGATTATTAAAAATAAAAAAATGGTTTGCATGCAAGGACAACTCTGGATACGTGCAAATACTAATGAAATGCAGATTTCAAGAGGTTCTTACATCTTCAACCGCAATACCAAAATGGCCAAACCCAGTGCCAATATCATACTTGTCAACTCCATAATCTGGAACAATAACCAACCAAATAATAGTTAGACGTACTAGAGAGCATAATTATGTCATACATGGCACCATCCCATATTTCTTTGAAGAAAAATTGTCTATGGAATACTATTTTTTCAGAAAGGTCCAGAAGAAATCTTTTTTTCTTTTTGGACAAGGTCCAGATCCAGAAGCTAAAAATTTTGAAATTATACAAGCAGCTGGCTCATAGCTTACTATAAGTGAGTTCGATCACGAAGTGTGAATCCTCCGGACCAAACCCAAGAAAGGCATTTGTGTATTTCTCCTCTGGTATGTCACGTTTTCGCAGCAGCTTCATTCCGAGACACTCTGTATAGAATCTGAGCAACCAACATTTGCATTTCGTTTTCTTTTTCCTTCCCGATCTTATCTTAGTTCAATTATAAATTGAAGAAAAGTAATAATGTCTCAAATAAACATACTTTATGGTCTTGTCCAAGTCTCCAACACGATAGACAACATGAAGCAATCTTCTCTTGTCCTGTTTCACCCAGTCTAAGATATTTTCAGACGAAGCACTAGTGCTTGCTTGGGCTGCATTTCCAGCTGCAGTCATCTCGATATTGATGCCTTCTCCCCTTAACAGTTCAGAAGCTTTCAGACCAAAGTTTTGAAACTGTGGAACAGCTGTAAAACAATTTGAGATCATCCAGTTGACTGATATCAGTTATCATGAATAAATCCTTTTCCTCCACCCACTAGTGCGTAAAATCCATATTCAGCGTTGAGGACTGAACTTTCACTTTCACCAGATGTTCAAGGCATAAACACCGTGAAGATAGCATGCACAATACTTTACAAAGAATACAAAAAAAGGAAGTACCATCGCTGAAGCATGAGATGTAGATGCAAATTCCCTCTCAATATCCTTTGAGGAGGGAGGGGGAGGAGAATTTGTCAAACAAACACCATTATCGCTATGCTCGTAGCAAAGCACTGGTTGGAAGTGGAACAGACTATAGAATCCACAATCCAGGAACCGATATATGACGGAAAAGTAGAGAAATATTCATATCCAAGTATCAAGGCCACTTGAAAAAATAGATACAAAATGGAACAGGTTATTCACTTTAACTTTCCCATACATCTAATTGTTATACCATATCACTTCCAACACAACTCAGGAAATCCACAGACGAAATCAAAATATGGATAAAATCGTTAGCGAACGATGGTAGAATATATATCATTCACATTATTCTTATGATGGAGCACCTCTTAACTGATTAAGAGCATTCATGAACAGAAAAACATAGATTGATGGAGAGACAGTCATATCAAAACTTCAAGGAAATTGGAGAAACAGAAATAAAATAAAAAAGATTATTCAATTGAACATTTTCCGCAAACGAATCAGTAAATCCACATATGAAACCACAAATATGAGATTAAAACTGTTACAATCACGGTCCAAATTCGATTTACAGCACGAATAGTTTATTTCCCAAAGCATCGAGCCACAAAATTCATTTTCTACCAACGAATAAGGTACTGACAGAACAAAACAACGTACGATTTCAACTGAATCGGCATCGACCAGTGCAGAACAAAAGTACACTCCAAACAAGCATATCCAGGAAGGATAAAAAACAAACAAAAAAATGCATCTGAAATACCTCAATCGAAATGAAAACCGGCAAAGAAAGAGTGCTAATCAAGGAATCAAGAATCAACAACGAACACAAACGAGGTTCGTAAACAGAGAGTAGGAAGCAGAGAAATACATACCACTGCCGAGGTGCAACAAAGCGATCCTGCGAGAAGTGTTGAAGGAAGAGAGAGAGAGGCCAGAGCGAGAAAATCCGGCGGACCTAAACGCCGACAAAGAAGGACGAAGAGAGGAGGACGCCATTGGAGTTATCCTCACCATTCTTCACTCTCTCTCTCAGTTGTGTCCGCGTAGTTCTCTATCTGCGCCGCTGGTTCCCAGTGAGCCAATAAGAATAACCAATGTCAGACGATGCGAGAGAGACCCAAAAATAAATAAAATGTTTTTTCTAAAAAATAATAATAATAAAATAAAGATTGCCAGATGGCCAATGGGGAGCCCCGGCTGTGTATGATTTAATTTTCCCATTCACAAGGAAACGGTATAGTTCATTTCTTATTTCCAATACAAATATATATCAACTTTTTAATTTAGTTTTTTTTTTTAGTAAAAAAGGAGGACGGGAATTCTAACTTATGATTGTTTGATTAGAGAACGTCAATCACCACTGAGCTTATGTTGGCCACTTTTAATTTAGTTAGTTATTCTTATTTGTATTTTTTTGATTTAATTCATTAACTTTAATTTTTAATGATTTAGTCAACATCTAAATGTTAGTATGTAGCTTGAAAAATCTTATCAAAATTAAGTATTGGCTTTTATCATATAACAATATAATATAGTCTTTTAGTTTATAAAGACATATGATCATTCTATGAGATTAGTTTAGAGGTAAAAATACTTAACTAATTTCAATTGGTTTTGAACGATTGTTTGTTAAATTCGTTGCTCGCAATCGATTCGATCTTTTTTTTTTAAGAGTTTTGATTTCTAATGATCACACATCAATTTCTTAAGTCGATCCAATAAATATTTATTCATTTTCTTTTCTTTTCATTTTTTGTGACGGATGAATAACAAATTTTCTTTATCTCATCGTTCACGATACACAAGATTCCATTATTTAATGTATGACCAATTTAAACATAGTTAACTGATTAAAACACCTACCTTTTAACTTTCGTTGGAAAAAGAAAAATCACCATATGCATGCTTTTGTAATTGTGCTCTTTATACTTTCACATCAGCCTCCAACTTTCAGCCATTCATTCATCCAATCAAAAGGAAGTATAAGCAACTTTTTAGCCATCACAAACTCAACCAATCTGAATCATTAAACCGTTTAGAAACTATTCTGAGAAATAAATTTCTGCTACTATTCTCGAACTGTATTCAACAGCAACTCTCGGATAATTTACAAAGAATGAGATCACTATTCATAAATCAAGTACATAGTCGTTCTATGATATTTATAAGAAAAAAAAACAGTTATTTTAACGTATTTTTCTTGAATTCAGATTTAAATAAACAGAAAACTATTTTTCAGAACGCTCCCAGAACGTTAGAATTGTGAAAATTAACTTAATAAAGACTATTTAACGATGAGAATTATGATACATCAGAAATATTTGAACACCATCAGCTCACCTTATCTTACAAGGAAGTAAATAACGAAACAGGTGCCTGCAAAATCATGTCTGCCAGTCTCTTCTCTTCCCCCTCCGTGACTCCGACATTTTCATTCTAAACAAATCACACAGATGCTATCGAGATCAGCTTTGTGCTGAGGCAGCAGAACTTTTATTTGGAATCGTCCCGGGGGCATTGTCATTCTGTGCATTAAAATTCTCGCTACTGGCATGTCGAATGAACTCTTCAGGAGACATGTGAATACCATGGCAAGCACAAACAATCTTTATCTGGTTTGCATTGAATCTATACGTTACACCAGAGATTGTCTTACCTGAAGGGCCAGTGGTGGAAACCCAAGGAAGATTTGGGTATGAACCACATCCCCCAAATTCAATTTCTGCAGCAATGCCCGGCTTTATAGCTGGAAAATCAAGGGAGACGCCTGCTGCTTTCGATCGTTCTAACACGTCTTTTGCGTTATTGTTGATGCTGCTTCCTTTCACATGTTCTGCTCGAGAAGAGGAGCCCTCTTCCATGGCAGGATGTCTGCTGTCGCCTTTGGCGTGTTCAGTTGCCTGCCCAGCGTACAACAAACCCTCGGATGTAAAATGTCCAATTGCTTGCACAGCAGCTACATGTAAAAACATACAGACAGCATAAGTAATCGTCTAGAAGCTTTGTAGGTGAAGAAATCTAGCTCAAAATTTATGATGGTGACCTAAGAAAAACCCTTAGGACTACTGAAATTTATAAGAGCAATAAACATACTTTTCAGAAAAAGACATACCAACAGGGAATATTTGTAAAAGCAGTAACTTGTTCATAAAATTGGTTGAAAGAAAAATGTGCAAACAAAACTGAGTTATTTAGGTCTGAAATAATGTCCACCTGAGTTAGTCGATGAGCCCCCACCAACATAGGGATGATGGATGATTTGGGGATGAGAAACCAAACCCCATGCCTTATCCTTGTCTGTTGCTGAAATGTGGAGTGGCGAAACGCCACCCATGAGAGGCAAGTTTCTGGGGTGTACACGTTCAGCCCCTGAACAATCGCCATTTGCAGTGGGAAGCATGTGCTGGATTCCAAGTTGCAAGTGGCCAGATGTGCTAGGTGTATCGAAAGTGTTAGCATCCTTGACCGATAATGAAAAGGGCAAATTATTCATATTCATGGTTTGTACAGAGTTTGGAGCACCAGCTGGTGAACTGTTAAACCTTTTCTGCCTACTTAAGTCTACAGCACCTGAATCAGAAAACCCATAGACCTCCTTTGAAACTTTGGGCAAACTGGTATCTCCTATACATTGTTTGGAGCCGTCGTCATGTTTTGATGCTGCCCTTGATGTTGGACCTTCAACTCCAGACTCTACCACATCTCCCTTTTCGGCAGTTGAGCCATCTTCGGTAGAGGAAATGTGCGATGCCCTTGCCTTTTCATGTAAATCAACAATATGAGATTCCCTCTCCTGCTTCTTTTGACTGTTCATTTCGACGAACAACAACTTGCGCTTATTGCCAATCTCCGCCAGATTTTCATCCTCAGCTTCTGCATACTGGTTACTACTTTCAATCCAGGTTCCTTTCCTCTTCAAATCAGTAGAAGGGTCTCCATCTATACCGGACTTGGACAGGTCATTGAAGAAATTATCATTTGATGGAATTGAATTACTCTGGAAAGATCCAGTGTCTGATTCTTGCCTCTGATTATCTCCATGAAGAAAATTCTTAAAATCATCAACCAATTTATTGCCTCTATCGCTTTCCGCAGCATTTGTACCTGAGGAGTTAGTGATTTTACCTTTAGACTTGATGGACGCTCCACCGAGGGACAGACCCAAGCTAAGCTCAAGCCCATCCTCATTCTCCATCTTTCTCACTGAAACTTTGTTGACATGGGTAGGACATACATTCTCAATCCTGGTTTTCTGTTCAAGTGTTGCTCTCTAGACACTCACGGAACTACGAACCAAGGAGAATTAAATCTTATCGCATGTAATGATACACAAAATAACAAAATGGAAAAAATCACTCATGAGCCATCAAGATAGCCAGCACAGAAGGTGATCACATGCAATTACCTGCAACATATAGCAACAACAATTAAATTCATGAGATTCAAGTCTACCTCAGAAATAAAATTACCAAAGAAAGCCAACCCAAAGAATAACAGAAAACAAATTATAGATTAAAGAACTTCCAACTAGCGGACTACGGATGTCTGATTATTTAATAATATATATATATATATATATATATATATATATTTTTATAAGAAGCCGAACTTTTCATTGAGGCAAATGTAGACAAAACAAAGACAAGGGCATGATTATTTAATAATATAGTTATTATATAACATCTAAATAAAGGTACCTCTTATGATACTGCTAAAGTCAGCTCACAAAGTTAGACTATCATAATATTAGATTGAGTTTTGAGTTGAATTCTGAGAACGGTGCTTTTAAGAGAGATATTTTCTGTATAAGAACTTTTGGGAAGAAAAACACTAACCAAACGCTTCTTCTAAAAGCATGTTTCCAAGCGTTTTTAGAACTTTCAAAAGCATGTTTGGTTTCCATTCTAAAAGTCATATCAAGCTCATGACACATTCTCCTACAAATATTCCCATATTTCCAAGGCTGTCCAGCGGTAAGAGCTTGAAATGTTTGGAGATATCCTCCGAAGTCCTAATAATTCCTAAAGTGAAGGCCAAGTTTAAAAACTTAATACCATAATTTCTAGTTATCTAAACAGAGCTGGCCTTAGGATGGGCAAAATTTCCACGGGATTGGTAGAGGATGCCATGAGCATAATGCAAGGAAGGATTGGCACGATACCCCAGTTATCCAAATAGAGAAAAATTGAAACAGAAAATCCTATATCTTTATGCTCAATGGAAGCATCAATTTGATGCAGTTCTTTCTCATAATAACAATTCTTCAATTCCCCTCGCCAAGATAAGCAAGACGACCCAGAATTTCATAAAATACATCAAAATCCAATATTACAGGGGGAGAATCTATACAGATTAAAATTATAAAAATCCAGACAACAAGGAGAATAGCAAGCAGAATTCAATTGTATCTAAACACGATCCTGGTTTAAATCATTGACCTGAACACGACCTAAACCGAAATAAACTACGAAAATACACGAAATCTTTAAAGAGAACAAGTGAAATTCTAAGTGCCAAACCAGAAACACCTTCCGAAAAGGTTGACGCTAGAAGAAAACACAGAGACCAGAGGAAAACCTGAAATGGAAACCCTAAGGCTTGAGCCATGGCGTCTTGCACAGCGGAGCACTCGTGGGAAATTTCGGCAATCTGCAGCTGTGAGAAACGTTTCGTCCTTTTTTCTCTCTCTCCTTTTTTTCGGTTTTTTTTTTTTCTCCTTTGATTTCGTTTGGTCCCTTCTTTTCAGCACGTGACCATTGCTTGTCTCTTTCTTAACTTTTCTCCGGTTTATGCTTTAGTATATTATATATTTTAATACCTTTTCTTAATACTTTTTTTCTACTAATTAGAGGTTGGAATTTAATTATCAACCTAAAAATAGGTATATTATCACTTACGCTGTACTACTCTTGAATTATAGAACTCGTTATAATCATCACAAGTTTCAATCTGATCAATCGCTTCTAAACTTATTAAATTGTTCCAATTAAATATTTAATTATTGCAAGATACATAATCTACTCCTAAATTATTAGTACTGTTACAATCAAATCCATACTTTTACATTAAATTTTATTTTTTAATTAAAATATTGGTTCATAATATAATCAAAATATTACAAGATTAATGTTGAAGTTTTAAATTTTTGTAGAATTTAATAAAATTTTAGAGTAAATGGTAACAAGGATCGTAATAGTCCTCATGGTTTGAGGGTGATTTGTACACTTTACAATATTGAAGGGTTTAATTATAATAATTTGTAAGCTTAAAGAGTTTGAATGAATAAATTGAAAGTTTGAGGGTGATTGTTGCAATTTCACTATTGTTCCATTACAAGTTTAATCATTTTTTAAGTAAAAAATTAGGGATAAAGAATTGAATCTTCCACTTATTAGAATTGATTCATATTTAACATGTTACACGTTGTTGATTCATCCATCAAAGTTTTTTTTTCTTTTTTATTGCATTCATCTATCAAAGTTGAATGACTATATTCATAATTTTATAATTAAAAATAAGACACTCTTTAGTAAAATCGTCTAGCAAACGAAATTAAATAATTTATTCAATAACCATAACCGTAGAAAAAGTAACGAAAATAGAACTGCGACTAAATGACTGCAATTTTTTCATATATTGTTTTTCTATTGTCATTTTATACTAAGCTTTTTTAAAATGTCAATGGACCATCTATATCCGATTGTACTTGTTTCAAGACTTGACACTAAGGATATTATTATCATTTCCTCATACCATTAGAAAGTTTGTGGGACAATTAATATAGGTTAAAATAGCATTTTGATCCCGATCGGATCTTTGTATTTTCAACTTTAACTTATTTTAGTACTTTTAAAATGTTGTTTTGGTCCCTCTAATTTAAATGAGCATTTTGGTCCTTATTTGCAAAATTTGAATACCAAACTTAGATATAATTAAAACCCTTTAGTATCAGATTGAAATTGTGATCCAATAAAATTAAAGAACTAAAATAACCATTTTTAAATAGTACAAAGACCGACGAATATTTTGAAAGTATATTAAATAAAATGAAGCCTGATTCAAAGTATATGAATCAAAATGAACGTTTTAAACGGACCAAAATTAAACAAAAAGGGAAACTACGTATCCAAAATATAGTATTTTAATCATTAATATATTAGCCTAGTAATGACTTGCATATCAATATAAAAGCAAAAGATAAAAAGATAAAAGAAGAAAGAAAAAAAAAAAAGAAACTATAATTTGGGAAGATTTTTATTATTATTATTATTATTTTCAGAAGCAGAAGAGGAAGTTGAGATAAAGGGGGAGTATTTGAGTAAGCGAGGAGTCGAGGACAAATTATTGAAGAAGGCCTCTAAATGTGGCTGTCCTGTTGGATGTAGATCCGTAAATCTGCACGCCGATATAAATTCTAAATACTTATTGTAGTTTGTTTTGACTCCAATAATTTCCCGATAGATTCGGAAATTTCTCACATATATCATCACTTCTTCCTCACTATTTTACGCTACAATATGTACTCTCCTCTGTCCCTCCGTTTCTTTGGAAAACAATTTCAGCACCGGTGACTGCCTGCGTTTCACAAGAAATCTCGGTACTGTTCATAGATTATTACGTTCTTATTTTGAAAATATCTACCGTCAATGATATTTCGTTTTTTATTTTCTATTTTTGAAAAAATAATTCATTTGATATGTTTTCCAACTTCTTTTAAATCACATTTCATTATTTAATTGTCGGATCATATTACTATGATACAAATTAGAATTGTTATATTTGATATTTTTTTTTTTTTTTGTGTTTGAATTTGAATTTGAATTTTGGCAAAAGTGAGAGAAATTAGAGGAGGAAGAATGGCAGGAGGAGGATTTACAGATGGGGGGCCAATGAAGAGGGCTCATCTTTATGAGTATGAATTCACGTGGTACTTCTTCAACGCTTGCATTGTTGCTGCACTTGGAGGCTCTCTCTTTGGCTATGATCTCGGAGTTTCAGGTCATTCTTTTTTTTGTTCTTCTTCCTCTTTTTCCTCTTTTTAAGGATGATTATGAATAATATAGTTGTGATTTTGCTTATATTTTGATATTCTGTTTTCAAATTTTTGTTCTCAGTACTTCTATGTGATTTGAAAAATCTAAAAATTTCTTTCTTTCTTAAATTTTATTATTTTACTACCACTGAATTGGTGAGATCAAAGTTTAAAAATATCAATGGACTTTTTATGGACTTTAGATTTAAAAAGACAGTATACTTATTTTCCTCTTTGATAATAGTAGCATACATTAGATAACTGGTAAAAAGAGTGTTATATATTCTAAATTGTACATTTCTTTAGATAAAGCAGTAAGAAACTAATGTTTTCTTAACCTAGTCCAAGGCATAGCTTCAAATCCTCATTCCAACTTAGAACTAAAAAATATATATATATATAATTAATTTTTATAAGTCATCTAAATTTGAGTAGCATAAAATTATTTGTTAAGTTATATATATATATATATTTTATGCTACTCAAATTTAGATGACTTATAAAAATTAATGTTGTCGGTCAAAAGGTTAGAAATTTAGACTAAACAATTAATGTAATAACAATTTGTGGAGATGATGGAGATGATGTTATAAAGTCTTTAAAAAAAAAGACATACATTAGTAAAAGAAACAAAATTAAATACTTACTATAAATATTAAATATGAGTTGAACTTAAATGATATCTCCTCATTCTTTTACGACTTGATCCAGTTTTGTCCCTAAATTTATTTTACTTATTTATATATATATCCTTTCAAAATGGTAAGAATTAGAGATGATTTTTGGAGGATGATTTGAACTCGTTAAAAAATTTAAAACTTTCATAGGGTTTGAACTTTGATGGAATTATTTAAACCAATTAAAATATATTATAAGAATACTTAGATAGCGTCTATCTGTCAAACCATTTTCTACTAAGTTCCTCATCAATCTACTAAGTATTTTCTTTCTTTTTTTCCTTTCCTCCTCAAAAGTGATGTGAAATTTTGAAGCTAAAAGTTGATCTGTGAATGGCTGATTCCATTTCCAGGTGGAGTAACTTCCATGGATGACTTTCTGAAGGAGTTCTTCCCAAAAGTTTACAGAAGGAAGCAACTTCACCTGAAAGAAACAGATTACTGCAAATACGACGACCAGATTCTCACCCTCTTCACTTCCTCTCTCTACTTCGCCGGTCTTCTTTCCACATTCGCCGCTTCTCCTATCACAAGAAAGAAAGGCAGAAGAGCCAGCATTCTCGTCGGCTCCGTCTCCTTCTTCTTCGGCGGATTCATCAATGCATTTGCAGTCAACATCCCCATGCTCATCGTCGGCCGAATTTTCCTCGGAATCGGCATCGGATTTGGCAACCAGGCAGTGCCGCTCTACCTTTCTGAAATAGCGCCGGCCAAAATCCGAGGCAGAGTCAACCAATTGTTCCAGTTGACCACTTGCTTAGGGATTCTGATAGCGAATTTCATCAACTATGGAACAGAGCAGATTCATCCATGGGGCTGGAGGCTGTCTCTGGGATTGGCCATGGCGCCGGCGACTATAATGTTCGTCGGCGGCCTGTTTCTTCCAGAGACGCCGAATAGCCTCGTCGAGCAGGGCAGATTAGAGGAAGCAAGAGAAGTTCTCGTGAAGATTAGAGGAACGTCGAAGATCGAAGCCGAATTCGACGATCTCGTCGATGCAAGCAATGCCGCTCGAGCCGTGAAACATCCTTTCAGGAATCTCTTCCGGCGAAAAAACCGTCCGCAGCTTGTAATCGGCGCACTCGGAATCCCGGCGTTCCAGCAGCTTACAGGAAACAACTCCATTCTCTTCTACGCTCCCGTCATTCTCCAGAGCTTAGGGTTTGGTTCGGGGGCGTCTCTCTATTCCTCTTCCTTCACAGGCGCGGCTCTCGTTGTCGCGGCGTTAATTTCAATGTTCTTCGTCGATAAGTTCGGGAGGAGGAAATTCTTCCTCGAAGCCGGCTTCGAAATGTTCGTCTGCATGGTAAAAATTCCTAAATCCCCTTCCCAACACTCTCCGATTTCGATTCTTTTCTTCGAATCTCGTCTTAACACACTCTGAAATTCCACAGATCGCAGTCGCTATCACGCTGAAATACAATTTCGGACAAGGAAAGGAGCTGTCCAAGGGAGTGAGCGTGTTCCTGGTGTGCATGATTTGCTTGTTCGTGTTGGCTTATGGAAGGTCTTGGGGGCCATTGGGATGGCTGGTTCCGAGCGAGCTGTTTCCATTGGAGACGAGATCGGCGGGGCAAAGCATCGTGGTCTGCGTGAATATGTTCTTCACAGCTCTGATCGCGCAGTGTTTTCTTGCATCGATGTGCCATCTCCGGTACGGAATCTTCATTCTGTTTGCTGGATTGATCTTCATCATGAGTTGCTTCATCTACTTTCTGTTGCCGGAGACGAAGCAAGTTCCGATTGAAGAGATCCATTTTCTGTTCGAAAATCATCCGTTCTGGAAAAATATTGTTAGAGAAGATGGAGAAGAAGAGCGGCCCAAGGAGGAGGCGAGTGACGTTCAAGTTTAGAACAACGCTGTTTTCTCATCTTATTTAGACAGAAGGATTCTTTTTATTTGTTTTGTTTTTTTTCCACTTTTAGGAAGCTTTTTAATTTATTGTTGTTAAATTTTGTTTTCCCCTTTAATGCATGGATTTATTTTTTAGAGTTATCTAAGTCAAGGATTTCAACCTTTGGTCAAGTTATGATGCTCACCATGTTTAGAACGGCGGCATAGTAAAAATTAAAATGAGTAATTCTATTATTGTTTGACACTTAAATGGTATATACCTAAATATATATGTGAGGTAGTCAAATAATAATAAAATAAGCTTAGAGACTATTTAGAATCATTTTTTAAGAGTTAAGGACCAAATTGAGGATATAGAATTTAACCCCCGATCTCAAGAAAGTAGGTGTCAATTATTGTTAAGCTATGCTTATGTTGACTATAAGCGATGCATGTGATTATCTTTTCAATTTTTGTGTATAAAAGTTCTTTTTTATATTTTGTTTTTTAATAATAAATTTGTATAAATACTGCTTTCACCCGACCACTTCTTTGTTTGCTATCTACTTATTGGAAAAATCTAAGCTAAATTTAAAATAATAATAATAACAATCATTTTCAAAAGCTTGTTTTTGTTTGTTTTTGAAATTTGGTTAGAAATGCAAATGTGTGTATTTTTATAAAAACAAACTAAGGAAATTATGATCTTTATCGAAAAGAGGGAGGGAAAAAAAAGTCTAAAGCAATTATAAGCAAACAAACATCATTTTCAGAAATAGAAACTAAAAACAAAATCCTCAAATAAAGCCTAAATTTATTTACTAGTAAATTTTTGTTCAAGGTAAATATATAGAAAAAATCGTTTTCCTAACTTGGTTTAGCATATTACTTTCAACTTTAAACTTCAATTAGCAGTGAAATTATTTGTGGTACATTTCGGTAGCTGAATATTATTGTACTTGGATTGAATATTTTGTTGGTTGAAATTGAATTATATAAGTTGTTTCGTGATTTTTTTTTTATTTTTTATAAAGATAAAAATTAAAATATTTAATTAAGTAGAAAATAAAAACAAAAAAAAATTCAAAATTCTATTGTTTTTAATAAAATTGTTTTAAAAACCAAAACATTTTCATTAAAAAAATCTAATTTGAAATTGAAGCCAAGCACGTTCAGAAAAATTAATTAATTGACTAATGAAGTTGTGCCACGTGTACCTGTACATTTCATGCCAACAATTTCGCAAGTTCATCCACTCCTAAGCTTCCTTGTGGTGAGCTGAAATTATATTCACCAAAATTTTTCTTCCTTTTTGTTTTAGAATCATTTTTCTTCTCGTTTCGTCCCTCCACTGAAACTGCAGCCTCTTCTTTGACTACCAATTCCTTGCTTGTTTGCTCCTCCTCCCTCTCATCGACTGCTACCTTCTTCCTTGGTTGGTGCCTAAACACGGGTGCCGGAGGAGCAGACTGAGAAAAAGCAATTGTCTGATGATAAACGATATCGGCATCCAACGAACGATCGTCTAAAACAATGGCACTGCCAGTTTCTATTGCTTGCTTCAGTAATCGAAGAACTCCATCCGTGACGTTACTTGGTTCCTTATTGAGAGTTTGTGAGGCTTCTGAAGCATACACCATAGTTTCAGAGTTCCCAGCAACAGATATGGCATCGTTTCTTGATTGTTCCATCGGTTCTGCTTCGTCGAAATCCGAGTATCCTAATTCAGTCTCACTCTCACCTCCAGACGTTGTGCACCAAGATTCAAAATCTTCACCGCATGTGTTAGTTGTGGATAGTCTTTGATCATCCTCCTCTGTAGCTTCCACATTGTCCTCTGCAGAGTCTTTGGCTATCGACATCGAATCATTTTTGCTGATCATCGTTGTAAATGAATCAACATCAGAAGTAACCAATTTCTTAGCATGCATAGGATCTAGCTCCTCATTTCCTCCTGTTGGGAGGAATGCAGAACCACAAGATGTTGAATCAAGGTGGCTCAGACCATCATCCTTAACCGACGCTTCTTGTTCTTCAACGGACAGGGCAACTCTAGGTGCCTCCGCTCCCTCCAGATTACTTCCTATTGACGGAAGGGACGATTTCCAATCTCGTCCTCTCCACATAAGAATGTGCTCACTTTCGAAAGAAATAAGAACACAAGGGACAAGATCCTATAGTTAAAAAGGGAATGACTCAGTAGACTGGGGAAGAGAGTTATTATTATTGTTATTTTGATCAAATGAAGAAAATATAAGAGGACCTTTAATTTAGCACCAATTTTTCTGAAGTCGCTCCCGTTCATCTCTTGACAATTAATCCTGACAAGTTCGCACTCCTCGAACGCCTCTTTGACGTGTTTTACAAGGTTAGAGTACACACCATTTTTCCCTGTAACATGTTACAAAAGAAACAGAAAGGTCAGTGAGCTAATGTATTTTTACACATGATGATCGAAGAACAACGAAAAATTCGGTACCTAGCTTGCATATCGGTATTAGTTTCCGTCCCTTCTTACGCATTTCGGTTGCTTCCTCCAGTGTTAGGCCATCAGGGGCCTGCTTAATTAGCCTGGGATACACAGGTGCAGCAGGTTTCCATAGCATGAGAGGGAAGCGAGGACGGGTCTTGTAGTTGTAATTTCTACCTCGATAAAGGTACAACGTCCCACCTCTACTATAGATGATTTTCCCTCCAGTTCTTTCCTATTGAAATTATGTAACAAGAAAACAAGTTAGAAGCATAAAAGCAATGCTACATTTTCATGTCCATAACTAATGAGAAGCATAAAGTGATGCATGCACATGTCTGCAAGGTCAATTATGCATTGTTTCAAAACATTCAATATAAAGCAAAAGATGCAAATATTAAAAAATCAAAATCCAATGTTCAGAAAGCAACTTCTGCCAAGAAATCACAATAATCATGTGGAAACTTAGAAGAACAATAATCCGGGACGAGTTATTTGATCATACAGTAATTATAGTTGAGAAGACATTCACTGATCCAGTAAACATGAGACAAACCATATACGAACTATTGTGTCGAGGTAGCTACACCTTCATCACATGCCATATATATATTTCCAATAGAAGTAATAGCTCATCGTTTTGTTACTAGAACAACAATCTAGATGCAACAATCACAATTTTCTGAAAGCTGATGGCATATTTGACAAAAACAAAGAAGTACGAGACATATATCGTAATAGAACAAAGGCAAGGATTTACAGTAGCAGATAGGAGGATTAGGCTCTAACTTTAACTCAAAAAGGAGCGAGACTATGAGCAATTGGCCAAAAGCAAGACGAAAGATATTGTAACCCCAGAAGCTTAAAAGACTCATAAGCACAACAGTACTAATAATTTACAGGTTAAGCTACCATTTTAGTCCCTATATTTAGGTTAACATGGTTTTAAAAGTTTCAATTTGATGGTTAGATCTCTGTAAACATCTTTGCCATTACTAGATGATAACAATCTTCTAATATGGTATATTTTTTATTAAAAATCAAGTTCTTGTAGCTGAACATTCTTTAGGACGGAGAGGACTAATTCTCTCTACACACCCAATAATGTATCACATAAGAAAATTGCTAACATCTAATGACAGAGACATTATAAGAGATTTAACCAAACTATAAGGACTAAATTTAAACCAAACACAAGTCACAGAAACAAAAATGATAACTTAATCTGATTTATATTTGTACTCAAACTTTTGGTGTAGTGTAATGAAATGACAGTAAGTAGTAATACGTCCCGCAACGTATGAAGAGGAATCAACCTCCAATTGCTGTTTGACATTGTCCATATCAACTGTACACACTCCTTTGCATTTTATCTTGCACACTCTACGCCGTTTCCAATGAGCATGTATGTTATCCAACATATTGTGCGTTAATCCATCTCTACCTAAAATCATTTGAAAGGAACAGTTTCAGTGCGTTAATCCATCTCTACCTAAAAACATTTTAATTTGGTAGGAAATTCAACACCTAATTTGTTCAGGTAGATATCTATTGATTAAGTAAATGTAAAAAATACATGCCTATAGCAATTGGTTAAAGAATTAATGGCCACTAAACTGTTTTTTTAGGTAAAGTTATAGGGACTAAAATTAGAATGATTAAAAGTTCAGGAACCAATTTGAAATAGGTAAGAAAGATCAATGAAAATTCAAGGATCAGATCAGTATTTAAACTATGATCTTAACAAACTCCTTCTGCACTAATCTAAATGCTTCATAGTGGCAATTTTCAATCATAACCAAAATAAATTTCTGAAATACTGCAAAAGATGGCTAGAAAATGCACACTAAACAGGAAATCTCTTTGTTGTTGAATTAAGAGAGATTTTTCATGAGTAATAATACCAATATTCAATTGCCTGTTGGTTTTGATGCACCCACGGACCAGCATCTTGATCTCCTCCTCTGTCAGCGGTTCGCCCAATATTTCTTCCCGCGACATCACATACTTCGGCCCCGATCCTGATAAGAATGGTCCAGGCGCCTGCACTGTCTTAACTCCCTTCTTATTTTTCGGCGGCAGCTGAAACGAGTCGAATTCCGGCAATTTCTTCTTGCTCGGCGGCAACGGAGCACGCCCCGTCCACGGTCGTGGCATCGTCGTCGGACCAAATGGCGCATACGGCGGCTCACGCAGCTTTATTGGCTTCAACTTCGGCGTTTCTGTGTAGCTATACTTGAACTCGAATGGAGCTCCATCGATTACGTAGGAAACTCCATCTTCACTTACGCTAACATTGGCTTCTACGCCTATAGGTCTGTCTTTGGGGGTGTTCAAGGTCTTTTTGGTCTTGGAAACTTGACGAAACGGAGGGGATGAACTGGAATTAGGGTTTTTGGAGTACTTGGATTTCCGACCAGGAATTGAAGGACTCGATGGAGACGAGGGAGTGCCGACTGACCTGAACGTTTCAGTCCCGCCTATTGCGGAGGTGGACGAGTCGGAATCGTGTAGGTTGGCGATTCTTGTGGCGGAATCGAAGCGGCGTTCACGGCGGATTTGATCCTCGATTTCCTGCTGAGACCGTCGGCGCTGCTCGAATCTCTCGGCGTTGGCATTGTTCCAGCGGGAAAATCGAATTTCGGTAGGAGAGGAACGGTGAGACGGAGCTGGATTAGGGTTGAATTGGGGAGCGAAGACGGGGAAGGGGAAGGGCAATTTGAGCGCCATAGCTGGAAATGAAGTGAAGGTGAGCGCGGGGCTGAAGCTCTGCTACGTTTCCCGGCAAGAGATCAACGCAAGCTAGCTAAAACGACGTCGCTAAACCCACGTACTTCTCCCATTTTCAATGTTTGTTTTTTTTTAGTATATTTTCAATGTTATTATGAATGGGGTTATTGGATTTATTATTATTATTATTATTTTGCAAAGGTTGGTAATTGAGCTCGTTCTAATAAATTTTGGGGGAAAAAAAACCATCAATGCAATAAATGTTTAATAGCTTATTATCTTTTAAAACTTATTTATTTTTTCATTTTTCTTTATTTTTATTTTTTTAGAAAATAAAACTCCATTAATTAAACAGAATCACGAGTTTGACTCGATGTGGGAGAAATTTGATTTACATTTATCTTTTTTAATTGTCAAACATATAGTCAACACAGTTGAATATTTTATAAGGTTAAATTGTAAATTTAATTTAAACAATTTAAAATATCTTTAAATTTTGAAATAAATATTAATTGATTTTAGGTAGGTGTGACAAACATAATAAAATCATAATGCATCAAATCTATCTTCTAAGTTGCCCCACTATATTTTCTCATATTATTTAATTATCATGTCATTTGTTTGATGTATTATACTAACATTCGTCAGCATCGTCAGCATGCATGTTCCATTATTATCATATTTGGATTAATTTTGGTGCATCCAAAATCAAAATTTTCATTTTCTAAAATGATTTGTGATATATTTAAAACTGTTTTTTTATTGATCCAAACAATTTTTGTCAATGTAAAAATCACTTTTATTTTAAAATATTAATATTTTACAATAACATGCCAGTGATTTTAGAAAACCACAAACCAAAAATTTTCCTCTTAATTATAAGTATAATGTTCCAATATTCACTCCATAATTACAATATTATATATTTCTCTTTTATTTTTTCAAGAATTGTTATATATATATACAACTTTTTTTTTTGAGTGGGTTATATATATATATATATATATATATATATATATATATATATTTAAAGTATAGTTACAGAATTATTGCAAAAACTGTACATAAAAATAAAACACAAAAAAGAAAAAAGTAATTAAGCCAAAAATGTGCGTTTAAATTTTGTTGTTTTTTGAATAACCAAAGTAGTTGGATTTTGGATTTGACCAGAAGCTATGAATACGATAATGCTACACACTCCCACAAAATCAGCTGCATAAGCCATCTTCTCTGAGTCGAATATCTCCACATGTAGCCCCCACACGGCTCGCCACACTGAAGCACCGCAACAAGACACCGCACCACTCTCGATTCTTGAACATTTCTGTTCTGTTCGGATCAATCAAAACAAAAATCTGGGATTTTCAATTACTGAAAATCAAGCACACCCATCTCTGTAATTTGCAGTTTCGTCCAAAAGATTTGGAAAATTATGCGAATTGCACATGCCCACGAGCCATTGGCGCGCCTTGCCTTCGATGCGACGTTTTGTGGGGCCAACGATGATTCGAAATTAAAGCTACCGGATAAAGATCATCCAAAATGCTTATTGCTTCATTACTTCCACATGACTCCTCCATTTCTAATCGGTTAGTTTTCGATTTTCTTCACTTTTTTCAGTCCCAATGCTCTTTTTTTTCTTTACCCTTTGCGTGTGCTTTCGATTTCTGTTCATTCGCCGAAATGCAGGTCTCTCCCTCTCTCTTTTTAAGTGTTGGAACTTGGAATCGGTTTCGCTTCCGAAGAATGATCTGATTTCATTCTCTGTTTGATCGTCCTCCAGAATCGCTTATTATGTAAGTCGCTGGCCTTCTCAATCCTTGTGTTTTTGTTTCTGATTCTCAAATACGCAAGTGAAGCTCTGAGGTTTTGAATCTTTTGATTGGTTTGTTTGTACGCACCCGAAATTTTTTGTTGGCTTTTGAGTTTTGAATGTTTTTTTTTTTCCAGATTTTTTACTTTTTCTTTGCACTTCGATGTTCTTGTTTTCACGAAGGATCTTCAGTTCTGGACAGTGTTGTGCCTGCTATTGTTTTCCATTTGGTTTACGTTTACCTTCTAGAACGGGATTGATGTCTGAGCTGAAGTTTTTCTATGAATTTGGTAGTCTCTTTATTCACCAGTTACTTAGTCTCAATGTTCAAATAAATTTAGAGTTCTCAAATTTATGGAAAATGTCGTTGTCAATAGACTTCTACTTAAAAATTCTTATTATTGGCATTTATGTTCACATCAGCGGTATCTTGCTGATATGTTCTATAGTTCATCCATACTTCTAAGATATAATGGAGATGAATATATTGATTATTGATCAATCCGTGGTGTCGATATAGAACCCTTCACTTTATGGAAATATGGACGTCTGAAATATATAATTCTAACTCTCATCTTTATGGTACATAACCTCAGAAACTGAAGATTGGATGGGAAATGTACGAACCCAGAACGAATTGTATGAGATTGCTTCCACGGTTAGTGTTATTTTGCATTTCAGTTCCGAGTTTGTAGCACGCGCATTCTTCTCGATTAGCAAATGATTATTATAGCATCTCAATTCCATGAAGAAGCTTGGCCTTCCAGATCACATATTGCTATGCATCTCAGGCACATGATGATACTCTTCAAATCTTCGGTATCATATCACCAATTGATGAGATTCTTACCCATCTCTTGGCATTGACTAGTTACATAACTCGCGGATTTGTCCAATTTATCGGTGAGGTTTTTTAGCGTACTTCTCATAATCGTTTTGGTAAAGGTGGATTACATTTCAGATGTTATGCTTTTATCATTTAAGTTTTTGGATCATCTGATATGATATCCATATATTGAGGATATACTAACTGTTTGCGGCTTGCGGTTGATGCTTGTGGCAGAGGATCTCGTAGCCAGAGATGTCAACAAATTTCTTATCGACTCTGTGGTCATTCCATTGGGACTTTGTTTGAGTTCTTCTGGTCAAAGTGGACAGAGGTCTGTTTCGGAAGGTTCGTCGTTGTCCATACCCGACATCCCCGGTGCCTCAGATTCGAACAACGGTGTGTTTGTAGATAGGAGATCAGATGTAGAGACCATTTACAGTTACCAGGTTGCATCTCCCATTTTTCAAGGGTAATTAACATATTCTTCCTGTAGTTCTTGATTGGTTATACTGAGCAAGAATGTCCCGAAAGCCAAATCGAAGTGAAGCTATTGTTTTAATTAGCTATTGTTGTCAAACTCAATCTTAGAAGTTATAAAGTCTTGATTGACATCATATTGGTCCTCTTCTGCGTCCTGTCATTTTGTGGAACCAACTTCTTTAGTATATCTGTTCATTTCTTTGAACTTCTTGTTCAGACATGTTCGAACCCGAATCCTCTAAAGCATTAGTTGGCACGAGATGAAGAATATTTATTTTCCCGCCACGTTTTTCTGCACTGTTTCTTATCTATTTTTTCTTGGTGTAGGTTGATGCTCCCAATATACAGTTTACAGTTTATCCAAGAATTAGCATTATGTTCCTTGAGGCATTGTTTCTCCTGCATTCAATGCATCGAGTTCCGCCTCCACAAGTAAGAAAAGGTTGCCTCTGTACTCTCATTGATCTTCCCATTTTAAAAACTGACTGATTTTTTATCCGCTACAGTATTATATCTAGAATAATAAAAACCTTGCTCGGTTCAGCGAACGATATCGGATGGCTGCAAAGTACTCCCGGCATGCCTCCTGTGGTTGATGGAACAGCAAGATTCTTGGAATTGCTCTCGGAAATAAGGTTATGATCCACTTAGTTTGGTTGATAAATTCTCTAATTATCTTGTTAGTTGTTGGGATTATTGGTTATAAACATGTAAGTTGTAGCCGTTTATATTTAGTAGCAATGATTAACAAGTTATGGTCATATCGTAGTTTGATCTCTTTCCGTTTTCAAGATTTTTCAATTTCGAATGTTTATTTCATCGATCTGTGTCTTACTACCGACTCCACTGATTTCGATAATTCAGGAACGGAGAGCACAAACTACCCAACTCATTTGTTTATTTATTAGTCCCAGGTATAGGAAATATCTCATTTGTTTTGGTCATTTTGAAGTATTCCTTTCACCATTTTCTGTTCATCTTGGGATTGTTTAGCCACAACATTGTAATGGAAATTTTGACTTCCTTAGGTCTCTTTAGCAATCATGGTCCCTTGTATTTTGTGGGCACCAAGAAATTCTTTTCAAAGATGGGTCTTACTTGCCATATTGCAAAAATTCATAGTGAGGTAATAGATCATCTCCTGCAATGAAAAACAGTCGCATCCTCGCTCTTTCATCGTCTTTTCCCGTTCCTTTTCCCAGGATGATTGAGGGTAGGACTCAGCAAAGTTATACCAGTTTCTTACTCCAAATATAGTTTTGTTTGAACTCCTTTTTCGTTCTTGAAGGTATCAGTAGAACATAATGCCTGGGAGTTAAAAGAATACGTCGAGGAGCTCTACTGGGGCTCGGGCAAGCGAGTGATGCTGCTCGGGCATAGCAAGGGCGGGGTTGATGCTGCTGCTGCATTATCAATCTACTGCAATGAGTTGAAAGGCAAAGTTGCTGGCTTGGCTCTGGTACAAAGTCCTTACGGCGGAACCCCTTTGGCTTCAGATATCCTTCGCAACGGGCAGGTTGCTGACAAAGAGATGAGGAGGATCATGGAGCTCGTAATGTGCAAGATTATCAAGGTTGCGACATATATTATTTTTTCCTGACATTTTCCATTGTTTCTTTATTCGGGATAACTATATCGGTCTGTTTCCATTGTTTCTTTATTCGGGATAACTATATCGGTCCGTTTCCATTGTTTCTGTATTCGGGATAACGATGAGACAGAGAATAGCATGGCAGAGGAGTTTGGGTACTTTTTTACTTGGCTATACATGTTTGAAACTTGTGATAGATATGAACTTATTTGCAGCTTCAGAAATGCAGTGTTGTTTTTTCTATGGATTCTGATTTATCTTCTGTAGGGTGACATTCGGGCATTGGAGGATCTGACGTATGAGAAGCGAAAGGAGTTCGTTACGAGTCACAAGCTCCCAGAGAACATACCAATACTCTCCTTCCACTCGGAAGTACGAGTGGCACCGGGAGTTCTTGCTACAATGACTCAAATAGCTCACGCCGAGCTACCATGGCTACCTCTTCCAAGATCTTGGACAGAATCCGATACGGTGGTGGAGGGTGGGCGGCATGTTCCAGTGGTGATTCCCATTTCTGCTGTCATGGCATTGTGTGCTCTGCATTTGCAGCTTCGGTATGGAGAGAAGAGCGATGGTCTGGTGACATGCCGGGATGCTGAAGTTCCTGGCTCAGTCGTCGTGAGACCGAAACAGAAGCTCGATCACGCGTGGATGGTTTACTCTTCCCGGAGGAAGAATTCAGGTGATCCTGATGCTTCTGAGATGTGCGAGGCAATTTTGACATTGCTTGTGGAGCTTGGATTGAGAGTGAAAGAAGGAAAACAATAGGTGGTGGCTTTCTTGTAATTCTATCTAAAGATAGATCCAAATTTGTCCATTGCAAAATCTAGTGAAATTTTCTTTTGCAAAAGGAAGTTGAATATGATCGTATTGGATTTCATCATAAATCAATCGTTGCTTGATTTTATGGTTGAACATGTAGTTTTGTTGTTTATTAAAAGATGATAACACTGGCGATAGCTTCAAACTTACTTGTAAATTTTCATTTTTGAAGAGAATGTAAATATCAAATGCTTACTTACATGTAAATATCAAATGTAAATATCAAAGGATGTAAAACAAAATACTTTTAAGTCTAAAGGTTTTTTTTTGGTTAATTTAATGATACAATAAAAACGAAAACTAAAACAACATTAAAACACATGCGTGAACCAACATTCCGACTTGATTTGACTCTTTTTTTTTTCCTTTTTTTTCTTATAGTATAACGGGTGGAAGATCGGACTCACAATCTTTTAATTAGAGATATATGCCAACTATCGCTATGCTCACTTAACGACGGAAAGAAACCCAACAAAAATTATAAAGAAATTTATAAGTCATAGTTGAAAGCTTAGAAACCAGTATTAGTAAAAATAAAAGTTTATGATCCAATCAAAATGACATTTAAAACTTAAATTTATTTTATAACTATTATTATTTTTTATTTACTTCTATTTTATAACTATCACTATAAAACAACAAACATTTTTATATAACATATATGTGCGTGTGTTAGTTGCACATTTCATAGCAAAGAAATTCATAGGATATTATTTTCTACGTGCCATCCTGGTTGAAGTCATAAATTCTTTCGAATTTATTTTGACTTTCTGAAACACTAGACTCACTTATAAATAATGTAAATATGATACGAGCATAGCTCTACTTCAATAAGAATATTTTCGTTCACTTCCAAGCAAGGGCAATGTTACTCATCTCTTTCAAAGTTTTTAATTTTTACTTTGTCATACTACTAAAAAAGGTCATGCACAACATTTGTTGGATATGTTGCTTTTTTATAAATGTTATCTCTCTCGTTTTGGAAGAAACCCCTGAACTTACATCCATTCCCAAATTGTTAGTCCATGTAACATTTATACACCATGAAAAAAAAAAATCTACTACTATTTATTGCTAGGATTTTTCTTTCGTAAATAAAGTTTTAATGATAAAGACCAATGAAGATGAGTAATATCCATATTATATAGTACCGGAATTTTATTTATTTATTTATTTTTTGGTAAAATATGAAACACGTTACCTTTTATCCGCTACACGACGTACTAAATACTTTTTGATGGTGGAACCATATGTACAAGAGATTATCGTAACGGCCAAATCAGTTTGATCTCTATGGGGCCCACCGCCACCGAGAACGTGCTGCAATTGGTTGAAGTTGAAGAAAGGAAGACGACAAAGACTCCCGTCTGAAGAATCTATGTGGTCGTCACGAAAATGGGCCCCTCTTGGATAGGGCCCATGATAATTCTTTGTTGTAAAGCCCAACGTCGCTATTATTTCGAGAGTCCAAAATATTAAATAGTGGTAGGCCCATGGCCCCAGCCCATAAAACCATTCATGCACCGAAATATGACTCTATCAAAATTACCATAACATGACAATTCACGTAAAGGAACTACATCATAATTTCCACACCCATAGAAATAACATTTTTTTCCCTAGAAAAACACCCAATGACAATGCAGTAAAATTTTCACCGACACATTGGTAATTTTGAACCAACTTACTCGTAATTCGTAAATCAAGATAGTCGATATTTTTTTAGGCTGGAAAATTGTAAGTGTGGAGATCAAACAATTACCTGTAAAAAATTAAATAAAGTATTAAAATATTTGAGAAATATTAGAAATCTCATTAATGTATTGAAACTTTGATGGAAAAAAAAGATTTGAATATAACATTCAGTTAATCAATTTTATTTATTTATGACTCCCTCACATATATGAGTAAGACAATGCCTTATTAATTAAAAAAAAATACCAGTCAATTATAAGATTGTGCGTATAATAAATTTCTTGTTATTATTTTCTATGAGAACTCGTTTTCTAATTCATCTCATTCATCAATATGATTTCTCTCCTTTATGTCATTTTTACATCATTATCAAACGGTGTTTTTACCTTGTTAAAATCGTTGTAAATATTTTATTGATTAAGTCAAATAAAATATCTACAAATGTGCTCTTCATATTTATTTCTTTATACTTTTATTTACATCATTGTTTTTAAGAACATATCTCTAAAACTTTTATCAAAAGAAAGAAAAACATATCTCTAAATTGAAAATCTCGAATCTGAATCTTTGTTGGCAATGATGACATCTTAACCTGTATAGAGTCAAAATGAAGACAAATTTCATCCGCATAAAGAAAAATTACTTTTTTATTAGGATGATTAAATATATGCTAATTGAATAATGTAAAAGATAGTTCCATTAAAAAAAATATATATATATATATAATAAAATAATGTAAAAGATAATAATGCAAATAAAAATATATTACACCTCGATTATAACAATAGAGAGAGAGATTGATCTAAATGGAGAATACTTTTTTTTTTCTTTTTTTTTTAAATATAAAGTTTATCAAATAAAAATATAGATCCATAAGTAAAAAAGAAAAAAGAGAGAGAAATATATTATACGTCCTTAAGAAAAATAAAGAAAATAATTTAATTAAACCGAGATCTTTTCGTCGACAACTTTTTAGCATATGTTCAAAAAACAAAAAGAATTTTTTCGCATGTGTGGATTTATTAATTCTCTTTCTAGAACTAGCTATATTTTTTATGCCTGGACTAGACATTAGATGAAAAGACAAAAATGCCCAAGTAAGGAATTATGATAGGAAAGCGATATTCAAAAATATGTTCAACTGTTAAACAATAAACTGCTTGATTAAGAGGGACAAATTTTGATTATATTTCAAAAGAATAAAAAACTGCTTGATTAAGAAAGATCAAAAAAGTTTTATATAAAAAAAGAAAGAAAGAAAGATAAAAAATTTGGCAAATTTAAAATTTAATTATCCTTTTTTATAAGAGAAACAAGCACCGATTTCCTTGTTGAAATTAAAGGGAACGTTGTAATGTTTTTCATTGCATTATTTAATCAAAATGGTTTTTTTTAACAATATATCATGATTCTTCGATCATTGAATGGTCTCCAAGGGGGAAAAAAAATCTTATGAAAAAATTTTGATTTTGTAAAATTTATGTTAGAGGCTTAAATTTAGTTTACTTGAAGGGCTAAATTTGTCAAATTCACACAAATCTAAAAAGGATAGACAAAAAAAAAGAGTTTTTTTTTATAGCAGATATTGATTATGAAACTTTCTTTTCATAGAAAAGATATCTTAATGCATTCAATATATATTTATATATTTTGTTAATTCTCGAGATCTCAAGGATTTAAGTTGGATAGTCCGATTAACCTATAAAATAATCAAGGAAGTTGTCAACCTCACGGTCGCCCTTTGATTTCACTCCTAAGGGGGTTGGTTGGCCTAAAGTGGTTGACTTTAACTAGTAAGCCCGAGTTAACAAGTGAGCCCCACAAGGTTCGACCTATAAACTTGATTGATGGTGCGTAGTACACACAGCTCGACTTTTTGGTTGGCCTAGGTTTTATGCTCAAAACTCGGCCTTTTGAATAGTTTCTAAGCTCTAAGTTGGTTTATTGGACTTTTCTATAGTTCATTCCTAATGATAAAGCTGGTCGAAAATGATTTTTTTTTTATAAATGTATTGGTAACTCGAAATAAATGAAACATTTCATTGGGATCTACAAAACTAACCAAATAAATAACTCAATATAATTGTAGAAGTCCTGCCTGTCAAATTAAAAAGAAATTACACATGCAATACTATTTTTATAAAACGTATATTAGAAAATCATTATTTGTAAGAATTCAATATATTATTATGTTAAAAAGTTTATTTAACAATTTAAAGTAGAGTGACACGTGTATTTTTTCTTGTAGATATTTATATTTGTAACATTGGTTAAAAATAGCATATAAAAATTTAGAAAAATATTAGATGGTCCACGAATTAAATATGGGAAAGGGTGTGGGTCCAACATTGCATCAACCACTTCTCCAAATATTCATTTTCCAATCACCATCCACATTAATATCTTCAAACAATAATTGTCACAAGTTAATTTCCTACTTTCTTTTTCCAACTTTCTTTCAAACCCACGTATTAAAAAGAATTGACATTTTACATTAAATTCAATAATAGCAAAACGACAAATTTCAATACGAAAATATAAATAGTAGACACACATATATATAGAGAAAAAAATTCACTCTAGAAAATTACGGAGTAGTTTTTAATAACTTAAATAAAATATTTGAAATTTGAAAAATTAAAGTTAAACATCTGAAGATAATTTACTATCAACTATTTAGAGACAGTTTGATATATTTTAATTCTTTGAGTTCAATCGGTCCAAATCAAAATGTGAATCCCTTACCTATCTATTTACTCAATTATTTTTAAATATTGAATTAAATGTGTAACTCAACATCAATAATGGTTATATTATGAAAAATATAATATAAATCACCTTAAGAAAATAAACAGGTAGGAGCAGAGTAAGTAAAGAAGGAGGTGTCCTCCCTTAACTTAATACAAAAGGCATATATATATATATATATATAACAATATTTTTATTTATTAGAAAAAGAAATAGAAAACAATAAAAAGAAACGTACCGAACGAGTGTTAGCTATCTTTTCAGACGGACGAACTAATTTAATCTCTAACTACCCAAATAGATTTAAGCATTATTTTTTATTTTTTATATTTTACAAATCTTTCTTTATCCAGACATTAATTAATTGTAGTTTATCACGTTTGTCACTTTGCCTCCAAAAGTTGTTGCATGCCAATTAAGTACTTAACGAACATTTTTGCCAAGTAATCTCATGTATTAAATATACCTAATTAAGTTCGTTTAAAAGAATATATATATATATACCTAATTAAATAAATGCGTTCAAATTTTCAACTCTCAAACTTATATGAATTATGAATGACTTATCATACATACAAATTTATTTATTTTAAAATTTAAAATCCTTTGTCATGAAATCGGTCTCCCTACTATTTTTATAATGATTTTTGTTTGGACCTACCTAAGTGGCGTACTTTTCTATAATAGACATATAACTATTATAGTGGCCAAAATGATAA